GAGCATGTTTGGTGTGACAGGGATTCGAACCCGCGACCCGCAGATTGCGAGTCGAGTGCCCTAACCACCTGGCCATGCCGGGCCAAAATGTATAGTACTATTAATATTGATCACAAAATTTCAAAGTACTTATGGTCATATTTTACACTTCTCACCTTTTCATTCTTATTTTCTGTAGTTATTTTATTGCTAGTAGATGGCTTAGAAACTAGAAGAAACAAAATGAATAGTACTCTATTCTTTTCAGTATGGACAGCAAAGTTCCAAGTAAACCTCCTGACGATTTCTTCTAATCTTTTTTACACATATTTCCTATTGTTATTCTACGGTTAGAAGCTGAACTAGAAACCTGCCAAATTTATAAAGCAATGAATTGGAGATCCAGTTTAGGTGTTACCATACTTGGAACTGACACCGTCAATATCAAATAAGCTTTTTCGTACAATTTCCAGAACTTTCCTTGCTTTGAAAACACAGTGGGGTAGGATTTTGCAAGTTGTTGACAGTATAATGATTACAATGAGAATTATAAAATGCTTATGCTATGACTTTGTAGAAAGTCCAGGCCAATCCAATAAGTCCATAAGCAAAAGTATTCTATAGAAACTATTTGAATCACAGCTCCAAGAACATAGTGGGGTAGAATTTACTGGCTTCTTTATAGTACAGTGGTTGCAACAAGAATTGTCTAAAGTGATTTATAAAAGATAGAGAAAATATTTATGATATGGCTCTGTATAAAGTAGTATCCGATCCAATAAACTTGGGTGGTCTGGATTTAGTGGTAATATAGGTGTGAAAGTGCTTATGACCATCCTGTTTCCTATTTTATCATGCTTACACAGTAACCAATAAATGCATAGTTTCCAATATTTTGTAAGGTAAAGTGAAGTTTTGGTTATCATACATAATGTGTGTGTGTATGTATGTATGTATGTATGTATATATATATATATATATATATATATATATATTACAAATAATATTAATGTAAGTTATTTTACTTAAACACAAACAGTAAATAAAAATATTTGCAAAACAATGATCTCCACTACTTATGATGTTTTGAAGTTCTTTTTCCAATCGTGCGTTGTACTTGCTAACCCTCATCATAAGCCTTGTCCAAATTCACATCAATGTAAATAATAACAATTTTTTTTTGTAGACTTTATATATGCATTTTTGAATACTAAACAATTATAATTGACTATACTGATACCACATAAATCTATTGTCATTCACCAGGCTTCTTAACTATGCTGTATTTGGGTCTAAAAATATCAACTTTTTGTTTGGAAAATAGCACTGATCATAATACTTCAAACTCTCCAACAATATAAGAGCTATTCTCTTGTAAATAAATTAGACATACTAACAGAATTATGTAGAGGAAATGTAGAGCTTTTGATTGGTTATAAACTTTTAGGTATAAAAAGTACACATAGATAAACAAGTCTTCTCAAATGATGAAGTGGTGGGCGGAGCCAATATGGTGGATTCAATAAATATTATGATATATCAACAAATAGAAGAAGTAAGAGGTTCTTATTTTATATTCTAGCTTGCAAATATTGGAAATTTGAGTTTATGATCCGAATGAAACTATAGACATTGTATTGTGAGTGTCATAAAATGTAATCTGACAAAACTCAGAAGATAACATATCAGTGTGACACAAAAATTGATGTTTAGCAATTTACTTTCAAATTAAAAATTAAATAATGTATAACACTAACATTTGAATTAACATCTACAATTTGATACCAAGTTTATTGACATACATTCATAAAATAATAGTTCAACAAAATTTTGAATGTAAGTCTACAAACGTGATGGCATATCCTCTGACCCTTAACTACCCGTAACGATAGGGTTAAAAAATAATGGGATAAAGACCCCTCAACATACACACAAGCTTGATAACACTAATAAGTACTCTTACCTCATGTAACATTGGCTGTATGTGTCTTTCATTTCCTAGCAAAGTCTGAAGGAATGAAAAAAGAAACCAATATTATTTTGTATTAAACATAACAATAACACACTTCTAACAAAAAAATTGGAAACATTTAATAACAACAATGAATATTGGGTAAAGTTTGAGTTAAAGATTAAACATAGTCCCTGTGAAGTAAAAGAATCTTTAATACTACCATGCCCTTATATAATAGAATCTTATACATGTCAACACTGTCCCTGTGAAATGCCCTTATATAATAGAATCTTATACATTTCAACACTGTCCCTGTGAAATGCCCTTATTGATAGTTTTCTTATACATTCTAACAATGTCCCTGTGAAATGCCTGTATCGATAGTGTTTTATACATTCCAACAGTGTCCCTGTGAAATGCCTGTATTGATAGTGTTTTATACATTCCAACAGTGTCCCTGTGAAATGCTCTTATTGATAGTGTTTTATACATTCCAACACTGTCCCTGTGAGATGCCCTTATTCATAGTGTTCTTATACATTCCAACACTGTCCCTGTGAGATGCCCTTATTGTTAGCATTTTTTACACATAGAGATGGTGCATTTGTATCTATATATTTGTAGCCAAATAATTCCACTCAGAATTACTACTTAGAGGTTATACATATTACAGACTAGTATATTTATCTAACAAGTACCAGTTACTCACTAACCTTCAGGGTTCCCTGGGTACCTTTATACTCGTATAAAAGATAAGAACAAAACAACTGGTAGCACTGTTCTTCTTCAACATTCTAGAATAAACAAAACAACTTGTTAAGTTTCAGCTTAACATGCATGAAGTAAGTTTTTTCACACAGTCACATTTTACCATTTATTGATTGATTAAAAACATTATATTTTGATTGACCTGTGCTAAGTAGACAGCCAATTATCCTGATAATTTCTTTCCTTACAAGACTTATATTTCTCAGTCTTTGTCATTCAATAGATCAATGAATTTAAACATCTATCTATTATAATCTTTATATATATATATTATTTTTTTAACTCTTTCAAAATAAAACAAAAAAGCCCAAACTATTTAATTTATTGTACTTAAAATACTGCATAAAATGAAGGTTAATTGGACTTTATAAGAATCAAGTTCCACATCTTGTGCTGCCCTCTGGAACTAATTCATCCATTAATGATTATACTAAACTTGACAGCCATGTTTATATACAACATTACTGCTAGATACCACAAGTTCCATTACAACCTTTTGTGAAGAGGAATGAGGTCAATCTTAAAAAATAAATTTTGTCAATCTTTCCACATATCTTCAATGCTTGTGGACAATGGCTTTCATCATCACTTTTAAGTAGACCAAAAGCATTTAAGTTGTAGATATGAAATTCCTGTGATCCTAGTTTCTTGAGTCATCTTTTTTTTTCTCATACTTTCTAAGGTGTGGCTGGAATTTATAAAATTATGACTGATGAACTTTGTGAACATCATTTTTATTATGTGTTAATGGCATCAGGAGATATGTCTAGAAAAATCACAGTCTTTTTGTTGTTTGTTTTTAGTTAGACGGCTTTCTCTCATAGCCCTCTCTGAATCATGGTATGGTTTAGGAGTTTTTGCTTTTAAATATATTTTCCACTTCCTGAAGAAAACTGAATGCTTCCTTCTTCAAAATAACTTATTTGGTTTAATATCCTTTAAGTCAGATACCCTATCTTGAAAAGAGCTGCAACATATCTCTCAAGTCTATCTGTGGCAGCATTGCATTTTCCAATGATTGGGAATATGTATCAAACTAAGTACACAGGTGCCAAACATATCGATCAAGACACTATGGTTTGCATTTTTAGCAACATGCCAAAGTATTAGCATATTCAAATCATTTTATAAAGTACAAGTAACTCTCTGTATTTTAATATTAAGTTTGAAACTATTCAAAATAAAGTTTTTATTAAAGAATTAAATTGAAGCCTCTATTTCAGTCTAGATAGTTGATACCCAACATGTAAAAAAGAAATGAAAAACAGCAAAAATAAAATTTGTCATCCAGTTAAAATACTCAAATGATCAATGTTTTTAGTACATAATTAAAAACTTTATTCTATGACCAATCAACAGCCTTTGTAACAAAACATGTGGTGTCTGTTTTAAGGCCACTGATTGATCTTAAAGTTTTACACAAAAAATTAATCATTTGAGTATTTTAATAACATTTACACAAGTACCTTGAATTTTAACCTTTTAATATTGTCACCCAGTATTATAACTTTGCAAGATTCAAATGATTATATACTTTTAAAAGTACCTAATTCTCTAAAAATGTAATCAAAATCAATGCTTTTATCACTGATCACTTTATTAAATCATACTTTTCAATAAATTCCTGGGTAACTAATATTTCAAGAAAAACTTCAATCAAGTAAATGCTTTGAACATTTTATTCATTAAGAAATTGAAACAAACTTTTGGATAATTAAAAGTTCAGAAAAAGTTTCTTATGATAATATAATAATGATCTTTAATCAAAATCATACTTGAATATCTAACATAAAACATTTTTTGGACAAGTAATCCATGTAGTTCAGTAAGATAATTTTTGACATCACTATGCTGAATTTTAATCATAATTTTAATTCAAACAAACCAACTTATCTTACCAGAAGCTGGCTTAGTTTTTTAATGAATTCTAAAAGAGGCTCTTCAAAACTGTCTTTCTTCAAACCTTCTACTGATGTTTTACTGTAAAACAAAATACATAAGTATTAATTAGAGAAATCTTACAATATACGTGTAAATAGACCTATAAATTCAAGCATCAGCTGGTTTAAGACTGTTCAAGAAATTTCATCAGACCTCTGATGCACTGAGAACTGTCAATTACATGAAACATAGTATCAGAAGTAAAAATACTGCAAGCTATTGAATTAAAGTTTGTGTATCAGATTTTACTTGCACATATTTAGGAATGTTTAATCTACAATTATCACACAAAAATCCTGTGGTGATGTTTCAATCCACATTTTATTTTATTAAACAAAGAAAAATCAAAGTGCAGTATCTTGCCATTTATTCATTTTGATATTGTATCCATGAGAGTAATTATACTACAATTTTTGATAATGTATGTGGACCTTTACAAAGTTTTGCACATTATTAGTAAATATAACAAGGCTTTCATACATAAAATATCTGTTTTTTAAATTAAGTATTAAGATTTTGTTATCAAAGATTTGCTCAAGAATTTTTTTCTTTCAGAATGTTGACTATCTAACATGCAAAGGAATTTTGATATTAGGATTAAAAATACTTTTATCTGAAATTTGTGAAGTTTCATTTAAATAATCCCTATATTTGTCATCAAATGTTTTTAAGATAAAACTTTATATTTAATCTGTTATTTTATCAATATTAACTCCATGTCATGTTGGTCGATTTGACCAACCTCGTAACCATCATAAAATTATGCTCAGAAAGGAATAGGAATTTTGATATTAGGATTAAAAATACTTCTCTTTACCTGAAAATTGTCAAGTTTCATATACGTAATCTTTATATCTTTCTAGATAATCATCAAATGTTTTTTTAAATAAAACATTATATTTAATCTGTAATTTTATCATTGCTAGCTCTATATGGTGTTGGTCAAGTTGACTGACCTCATAAAAAATTAGGAAATGAATCTAAATTACCTTATTTTCTTGTTTTAAAATAACTGCAAATTGTTACAGGAAACCATAAATGTCATTCTAAATAGCTTACATCTTGTAACAGTATACATCTATTTATATTTATTAATTTTTGTTTTATTGACCTTTGAACCGTGTCTGACAAAAAATACCCTGACACAAGTTGAAAATTACATGGCACACGTACAGCTCATGTTACCACATTGAATAACACACAAGATGCTGGCGCGTATACCCCATGCGGATTTTTATTATTTTTCTTTCATAATCTTACCTAATAAGTTTTTATTTTTATGCTTTTAGTTACTTTTATAATAAAAAAAACCCTCGTAATCAAACATTTTTATTTTCAGTAAAGCTTTATATTTTATTGGTTATTTTCTTTACTGTAATATTATACTTGATTCTCCAGGTTGAAGATAAGTAATCAAAGTATAATGAAAATAAAGGTTGCAAATGCAAAATAACATGTATAGTACTATTGGTATTGATCACAAAATTTCAGAGTACTTATGGTCAGAGTTTACACTTCTCACCTTTTCACTCTTATTTTCTGTAGTTATTTTTTTGCTAGTAGATGGCTTAGAAACTAGAAGAAACAAAATGAATAGTACTCTATTCTTTTCAGTATGGACAGCAAAGTTCCAAGTAAACCTCCTGAGAGTTTCTTCTAATCTTTTTTTTACACATATTTCTTATTGTTATTCTACTGTTAGAAACTGAACTAAAAACCTGCCAAATATAAAGCAATGAATCGGAGATCCAATTTAGGTGTTACCATAGTTTGAACTGACACCGTCAATATCAAATAATCTTTTTGGCACAATTTCCAGAACTTTCCCTGCTTTGAAAACACAGTGGGGTAGGATTTAGGAAGTTGTTGACAGTATAATGATTACAATGAGAATTATAAAATGCTTATGCTATGGCTTTGAAGAAAGTCTGGGCCGATCCAATAAACCTGGTAGGTATTTGAATGTAGATTGATAAGCAGACATTTCCTACAGAGTCTATTCGATTCCCGGCTCTGAAAACACAGTGGGGTAGAATTTACGGTCTTTTTTACACAGTACAGTAACAAGAATTGTCTAAAGTACTACATAAAAGTGAGAGAAAATATTTATGATGTGGCTCTGTATCCGATCCAATAAATTTGGGTGGTCTGGATTTAGTGGTAATATAGGTGTGAAAGAGCTTATGAACATCCTGTTTCCTATTTTACCATGCTTACATAGTAACCAATAAATGCATAGTTTCCAAAATTTTAAAAGGTACAGTGAGGTTTGGGTTACCATATGTTATATATATATATATATATATATATATATATATATTATTATTATTATTATCTATTATTATTATTACTAGTTACTAAATAAATATTTAAATTTAAGTTATTTTTCTTAAAACATTGAACAGTAAATAAAAAATACTTGGAAAACAACGATCTCCACTACTTATGATGTTTTGAAGTTATTTTTTATTTTTTTTGCAGTCGTGAGTCGTACTTGCTAACCCTCAGCGTGAGCCTTGACCAAATTCAGTTCGATGTGCAAAAAAATTATTTTTGTAGACTTTATATATACATTTTTGAATACCAAAAAATTATAAATGACTATACCGATACCACATAAATCTATTGTAATTTACCAGGCTTCTTATCTATGCTGTATTTGGGTCTAAAAAAATCAACTTTTTGGTCGGAAAAGAGCATTGATCATAATACTTCAAACTCTCCAACAATATACAAGCTTTTTTCTTATAAATAACTTACAAACACTAACACAATTACGTAGAGGAAATGTAGAGCTTTTCATTGGTTATAAACTTTTAGGTATAAAAAGTAGACGTAGATAAACAAGTCTTCTCAAATGATGAAGTGGTGGGCAGAGCCAACATGGTGGATTCAATAAATATTATGATATATCAGAAATAGAAGAAGTAGGAGGTTCTTATTTTATATTCTAGCTTACAAATATTGGAAATTTGAGTTTATAATCGAATGAAACTATAAACATTGATTTGTTGGCATCATAAAATGTAATCTGACCAAACCCAGAAGATAATGTACCAGTGTGTGTGTGTCCCAAAAATTGATATTTAGCAACTTACCTTCAAATTAAGAAATTAACTAATGTATAATACTAACATTTGAATTAACATCTACAATTTGATACCAAGTTTATTGACATACATTCATAAAATATTAGTTCAATAAAATTTTGAATGTACTAGTACCAACAAAGCCTTTCATCCAATTCCAGATATCATCAAACTGGCTGGGATACAACAGACATAGCATTGGTCAAAATGTTATTTATGTTATATATTGCTTGAACAACAACTATTTCATTGTGAATATTTTTAAAGTTGGTTTAACCATAATTTTCATCAATTTTATTTAAGTCATCACACATCAGGTTCATGATTTTTATTAACATCAACTTATTGATTAATTTAAATACCAATAAATAAGTAATGAACTGAAATCTGATATTTTAACTGTTCCAAGGTTTAAATTTGATCTACAACCCCAATGAAAACAATATCATGAAGGAAACTGTTATGTTCCTTAATGAAGTTATGAACTGGTTCCTTATTACTATTTACAAAACAGGATTTATTTATCTTACCTCGGTTCTTTAAAATAGTTGACACCATTTTGAATTTTTGAAGCATTATTTTCAAGTTGTGTACCAACTAGTTCCTGCACATAGAACAGCAACAAATAAAAAAAAACATATTACGCAGTTGAAAACATTTATAAAAGCAAATTCTCAAACATTTGTAAAATACAACATTTCATAGGTTTTTGTAGTTTACATTCAAGATTATATGTTGGGAAAATTAAAACAGCACAAATAGCTATGGTAAGAAACTTTAGGGCAAATAAATAACATTTAACTTGAAAAAGTATGTGACAACCATACTCATTAAATAATGTTTCAAACATTAAAATATGCTTTTGAAATCATTTCTTAAACTACATTGAAAAAAAAAAGATAGTGACAAAATAATAAAGATAGTTTGGTTCCAGAGTAACTATTAATAACTATCCAAACTGATAAAAGTAAAAAAATTTTTTGTCCGTGAACTACTCCCTGGTCATTGGACCAATCTCAACCAAACTTGATAGGATGATATACTGGACCAAGGGGCATGTCATAGGGAGATTATTACCTAGTCCCATTTTTATTGAAGAATACAATTTACTCTTACCCTTTCAGTTATTTATAACAACAAATATCTTGGCTGTTGTGTATAACGATATAACAAAATTACATAACTTGAGTATCTACACTAGATATATGCGTAAAGGAGATCACGTGCTTAAAAAAAAACTAATTTTATTACAAGCTGCAAATGAACATACCCAAAATATATCTTGATACCGTGTGTTTGAGGTATGATTAAATCAAATTATATTCTTCCTGGATTGATTTTAGACTCTAATCTTTTTATTTACACAAAAATTTGTAATTATTGTCTTTATTACGGCGACATATTATTTTGGATACTTTTATATGCGAAAAAGTAATGGGACAATCAGCTAATAATAAATTTTCAAAACATAAATGTTTTTTAATTAATCACAATAAAGGCTTGAGTCATACTTACAATTTTTATGTTTGTGTTATTGCTTTGAAGTTAAATTTTTCTGCTGGCAACATGCTACTTTTAACACCCCACCATTGTATATTTCCTCGGTTTGCTTAAAAACTCAATATATTATATATGTTTGGAAAGCTCTGTCCATTGTCTATCATTTATAAATTATTATATGTTTGTGTAAAGTGCATACTCAAGAGAAATTTACCCCAGAACACTGGCCCATGTAGATCATTTAATACAATAAATAGTATTTGGCCATCAAAGCTGTGTGTGAGACCCTGCTGTACAATCTTTGTTGACTTCAGTATTTGTGTTGGAAGATTTGTTACAACAAATATCAGAAACAGAAAAAAACAATGTTGTATGATCACAATAAACTACCAACAAATATTATTCACACTAGTGTACAGCCCATCAAAAATGACGGGGCAAATACTACCACCCCCCACCCCATAGAGTACCATAACCTCACTTTTGATAGCTAACTGAAATAAATAAATTTTGTGAAATCAAACTTGACTAACAAAGAGGCAGAAAAGTGCAGTTGAGGCAATCAAACATTGGCAAATTTCTTTGTGAGCCAATCAAAATTAAGATCACTCATGAAATGAATTCATGGCATATTCATAGAATAATTATTGATAAAAATCAGTTAGATTAACAAATCCTAATATATATAGAAAATCAAGTGCATTTTGGTAACACTACATTCCAACAATGATATTTATGTCATGTTGCTTAGCAACAAAAGTATAACATAATATGTTTGTTAGTCTATGTACTGAAAGTATAAAATGAAATGTATAGACAACAAAACTGGAAAAATATTTGTTGGTTTCTTAATTTAAAGTCTCCATTCATTAAATAAGTTTGTTTTTTATTAAAAACGTTGGGGATATAGCAAAAAACAGCTTAATTCAGAAACAACTTAAGTTTAAAATTGAATCAATATTTATACTTTCATGATAAGTGTTATGTACTTGGCTCTAGGCTAGGTGATCCCACACTATGTCTTGACTTTAGGCTTATTATACCAACACTCACTACACTTGTAACGTTTCAGATGACATACACATCCTCACAGCCCCATTACATCCCCATCTCTAAAATTGTAATGGGCAGACAGTAATCGAACTATTCTATCTGAATAAATGCATTTTGGGTTTTATAACTCCTCCTATTTCAAGAAATCAAGCGTGATGTGACACACACTGGCTTTTATATAGGTTGGATATTAGTTACTTTTTTAATTCTAGTTAGAAAATTTGTAACATGGCACCACTAACTGCAAACTTATTGGAGAAATAAAGGAAGTTCCTAATGGTTGCACAAGTAGCAGGAGTCTAACTACTATTTGAACCCCTCCCCCTTCAATATTTTAAAAAATAAAAAGTATTACACAATCAGTACTTTAACTATTCTAACTTTATGTCCCTTTTTAGTTTGATTATTCACATAAACATAGCAACTTTAAATTAAGCATTTCAGTAATATTGATCAACAAGTTAAAATAACTTTGGAAAATTGATTTTAGATTAATTAATTGCTTTAGAAAAACAATAAATTCTTGGGAAACTTTTTTTTTGAGTTGTTCAGTTTTTTCAGGGTCAGTCCTACATAGGCATACAAGCAATATTTTTATTTTGGCCCCAACAGTGGGATAACATAGACTTTATCAGTCCAAGTGCCTGTGGCCTAGATAAACCAGTTTCTCCCCACATTTAGCATCTTTGAACAAATTTGTGATAGTTAAAAAAAACTGTTACATATAATTAAACTGAGTATTTATATCTGAAAACATTTGAAAGGAAAATACAACACAAAAGATTTATACATATAAATATTAACATTTAATACATGAAATAGTTATGGCACAGTAACTTATAAAAGAATAAATTTAGTATCAGTCCTGAATTTGCTAGTGGGGAAAACATAACTAGTAACCATTAGTTAAGATTAAGGCCTACAATGGTGTGTTTAAAAACTTGTGATACATTTTTCTCTTTTTAACACACATTTTATCTCTTTTAGAAAACTTAGGAAAAGAAATGTAACTATACAAAAAACTTTAGCATTTTTAATGAATGAAAACATATGAAAGGCACTCCAAGAGTGTGCAACTCCCACCCAAGCAATGTGTTTTGGACTTTTGCAGTAACCAAACTAAAATATACACTTAACAATTTTTCACCCTCAGAGATGCAGGTCTAAGTGCCAAGATTCTCTTTCTGTCTCAATTTGTTCTCAAATTCTGACCATTTTTTCAAAATTCCAATTTACTACTATTATATGAAAAGTCACTGACCTTCAGTTTTTAGTGTGACCTTAACTTTTAAGCAACATTAACCAAATTAATCAATTGTCATTGGGGGCTGATCAACCTTTTTATACCAAAATTTGCAAAAAACCAGATGAAACATTTTCCAGTAACTATATTTACACGCACATACAGAGAAGAGTGAAAACAACATTCCTTCCATCAGGCGAGTATAATAAAGTGACTTTTCTATAAAATTACAAAACTGAAATTCATGACACATATATCAGCTACTTAGAAAAATAAATAACCACATTTAGATGTTAATGTTCATAGGAGTTTGAAGTACTAGAAAGTACCAACATTGGGTTAGTTTAAAGTGGGTGAAAGAGAAAAATCTTTAATAAAGCTCACTAGGTTGTTTTATTTCCATTTCCATGTGTATCATTCAGAAATCAGAAATAATATGTTCTTTGGTAATAACCTGTAAATGAAAACAACTCACCTTAGACTTTAACACTGAACTTCCAGAAATCAACACCCACAAATCTTTAGCTGACCTAATAAACACAAAAAAAGATTAAAATACCATCTGACTATGAGACACACAATTTCTATAACGAACAGGCTAATTACTTACAGTATAGAGATATAAAAATTATTATCATTCATAATTTCTAATTTCTTTTAAAAGTACAATTATCTGTCGCCAATTAGCAAACTGATTCTCTAGTATTACTTATGTTGTAATAAAGAAATGTAAAATACAATGCTTAAATGCATACACTAAAAAAAGACAAAAAAATCTTAATTTTATATATATTTATTAAAAAAAAAGATTAAAAACCTCAAAATTGGCAATCTCCATACAGAAATATAATGATAAATCTACATTATTATTATTACATTATGTATACACAAATTTGCAATTAGATAAAAAATTTTACTAGCACAGTTAAATGTATATTTTGGTACTGCACTATATAATAAATAATATAAAATTAGTTGTTTTTTTTCAGACATCACAGATTTGTTACTGAAAACAATTAAATGCTATAGCAGTCACACAAAACTTATACAGTAATCATGAACAAATTTTACATTCAAGATAAACATAGTTAATTTGTTAATTAGAATTTTCCATCAATCTCTCCCAATTCATTAATGCTTCTTATGTCCATTTTTGCACAGAGAAATAATTAAACTCAGAACATAATAAAAACAGTTTCCTTGTCTTATCAAGTTAGTTTTGATAAAGCTTCTGCATTATTATTTGATAGCTGGTGTGGTAAAGAACAGTAGATTTTCAACTCCCTTAATTACAAGAGAGGATGTTTGGAATATTCCTGACTGAACATTTTATGTGAAATACTGGATGACAGATAAAAGATCAGATATGCGAGTCTCTCATATTTAGTAGGTAAATACAGTAGACAGGTGCCTAAAGATTGGAGAGTTGCTAATGTTACTCAAATTTGTAAAGGGGAGTAATAAGAGTTTTCTGATAAAAGAAGGTTTCCAAAAAAATTCAGTGAAATATGACATCCTAAAAATCAGTTAACATGAGAAATCTTGCTTTACTAGTCTAATGACTTTTTTTTTTTGAGGATGTTGTGAATTTGGTGTACTCTGATTTTCAAAAGCTTTTGAAAAGGTGCCACGCACACAAGATTAACTAAAAAAAAATCATATAAGTAGATGTGGAAAAACTAGTTGATTGGTTTGTAGAGTGGCTGGGTAAGAGAAAACAAAAAAGTGTTATTATTGATTAACAGTCACAATAAAATTTTGTTATTAGTGGCGTGCCTCATAGGTCTGTGCTTGAGCTTCGTTTTTTTTATGAACATTAATGATATTTATAAGTCCTTATGCAGTAAATTAGAAGTTTTTTCTGATGACATTAAACTATTGGGTATTTCTAGCTCTACTGAGGATGATGGGTTCTACAGAATGACTTAGAAGTTAGATCAATTGGTAATTTTGAAAAAAAAATTGTAAAATGACGCTTAATTACAGTAAATGCAAAGTATTACACTTTGGTTATTATAATTTGGGTTCTATTACAATTAAAATATTAATAGTGATACTGATATAATTGAGTGTTTTTGTTGTTTTTTACGCTGTTTTAGGTGCAATCACACTCACAATCACAATAATTTTGAATTTAAATAAATAAGTAGCGTTAGTACTACTACTAGCAAGTACTAGTAATAGTATCAATTTTAATGTCAGGTAATTATACAAGTTCTGAAATGTATTACTTTTTTCATTAAGTACCACATACCACAATATGAAAACAAATGAAAAATGTTACTCACAAATTCGGCATTTTTAACAATATAATTTATAAAGTCTGTCTAACTAAAAACATCAATTTCTTGTAAGTTACAATTCAACTACCGCGGTTCCCACATCAGAAAGGTCTTCCAATTGCTAGTAGATGGCGGAATACGTAAAGCGACAAAATTAAAATATATAAATATATTAATATTGGTGTATTAGAAAATTTATTGCTCTTTTCACTTTTATAAATAAGATATAAAACCCTGTTTATAATATTGAAATGTGTTATTAATTGTAGTAAAGTCATCATATACATGTTACTTATTTTTAACCCAATTCTTCACGTTTTTATTCCTATTCGACAATAGTTTAAAAGAATTTAAAGAAGCAGCACGAACCACATCTTTAACCAAAAATTCCACAAGTTTATCCCTCTATAAAAAGAGGCTGTGAACAGGTGTGACAAAGGCGCTCAAAACTTAAACCTACAACCCGTAATATTTAGGCTTGTATTTTTAACTTTTCATGTGGCGATATGTCATATTTTACCTTTTCATTTGTTTTTTATTTTGTTTTGTTTTTTGATTTTCGCGCAAAGCTATACGAGGGATATCTGCGCTAGCCGTCCCTAATTTAGCAGTGTAAGACTAGAGGGAAGGCAGCTAGTCATCACCACCCACCGCCAACTCTTGGGCTACTCTTTTACCAACAAATAGTGGGATTGACCGTCACATTATAACGCCCCCACTGCTGAAAGGGCGAGCATGTTTGGTGTGACAGGGATTCGAACCCGCGACCCGCAGATTGTGAGTCGAGTGCCCTAACCACCTGGCCATGCCGGGCCTACCTTTTCATAACAAGTTAGAGTATAACTTTATTCATATGTATCTTATTTTCCTTTAGTTTCCCTAAGCAGCTGTTTTGCATATGGTTAGCGTCTTCTTAGTGAACCGAATATCCAAAGGTCGCATACATACACAAAATCTCTTGATTAGGTAAAAGCTAGTACGAGCTTGACTTTGTACCTGAGTCTATTCCTTGGGGATGGTAGCCTATTATAAAGGGTGGTACTGGGGCATAGAAATTGCCCCCGCAGACCCCTCGGTGCAGAAGGAGCACGCTGAATAGAAGCCCATAGTTCTATAATATTGTTACGTCTCCGTTTTTTAATTGATTTTCCGCAACTTCGTTCCGACGAAACTTTAACGACACAAGTTCTTTCTTAATAAAAACTGGTTTATTCTTTCCGAATACAACTTTACCGATACACTCAACTTCAACAATCGCGCTAAACAACGCTATATCAACGAACGTCAATAATACTTCTGACTGCAGTTCAATTACTCACTCTCTACCCAGACACGTTACATTCCCCTCTTATATATATCCGCCTACCCTATATCTAGTAAGAACTAGAACATTCGCCAAAGTACAGGATAATTCAAGAAAGGAGAGAGCGTGAGAATCACATGATTTCGATGACGCAACAATATATTGGATATAAAGGGGCCCAATGGGAAAGATCGTAGGGAAGCCCATACATTCTGCACTAGACTTCTGGGTGGTACAAATACTTGTTCAAGTTGCATTTGTTTATTTCAAATAACAGAGAGTAAGCCTATTACAAAGGGTGGTACCGATACTTGTCCAAGTTACATTTGTTTGTTCGGAATAGTCGTTGATGAAGGTAATATCTTCTTACCACAGCAGAATATTAGTCTGACATAAAAGTGATGTGTTTCCATGGTTATTTTTCTCTCGCCCTAGCTCTTGTTTTGATAGTATCTTCGACTGGTGTAGAAACTCTCTTTATTTCAGCAGCCAGCAGAAGTCATTATATGAAAACAGAAGCCAACCAAGTGAAAATATTTCATAATGTTTATGAATAAAGATTATATTAATCTTTAGTGTGTTATTTATAGTGTTATTTGCTTCATGTAATACATATTTTTGTATTCATCCTGTTTTTACCACCCGAAAGTTAAATTACTTTACTTGAGAATACCACAAGTGAATAAAACATTTATGCTTCTTGCTTTCACTATGGAAATATCTTACACCCTTTATAGATATTATTCTTACACTGGAATCTGGGCTTTAAAAAATAAAAGCACTTTCAAGTAAACTGAACCTTTGAAACCATGCTTATACTTTATTTTTGATGCTTCAAATGTATTATTCTTCCAATGAATTCTTGTAACTTTTCAAGCAGAAAAGTATAGTACTACTCTAAGCTTATCTAACTTTTATAATTTTGCTTTAGTTTTTGTTTGTACTATTTAATTACTTGTAAAACATTGATATTGTTGAAAACAAAGCTGGTTGATTCTGATATAATTATAATCTATATAATTATATTTCATGAATTGTCTTCTTCACTCTGCAATGGTGCAATTTATATTAATTATTGAAAAGAACAACACATACTCATTGATCATTAAATGCTCAGAATATCAATACCGTAGTATTTTCCAGTTTGCGGATTTACCTCAAAGTAGTCAGTTAGGGCTCAGAAATCTGGAGGTTCAAGGACAGCGGGCCATGGAGTGTACTTCTACCCGAACTCTAACCAAATTTTTCGTACAAAAATAGAAGGGATATAAGTGCTCAAGTTCACAATCTGTGTTTAGCACAGAAACAAAACATAAAACAAGACAAAATAAAAGAGTAAGCTGGTCTATTGGATGTATGGAACTGGTAAGAGATGTCTTTTACCGTTTCATTGTACTTCCCCTTGAAATTACACTAAAGTCAAGTTAAGTTTAAAGTAAAGGAAAATAAAAGAAAACAACCTCGACAAGTTACGCATTAAGATTGAAACAGATAATCCTAATTTCTGCTTAACGTAAGAGCTAAGGAAATAAACTCAAATTCCCTCGAAAGTCAGAGTCTGCTATACACTGAAATCACTTTACTATTCCAACAAAAGTTTCACTGAAAACAACGTTAAAGTGAAACTACCTCCTTATGTTAAATGTAAAGTTAAGCTAAAATCAAAAGTGCTTACTAAGTCTAGTTGAATATTTTAAAGTTTTGTTTAGGATAATTTATGTTCTTAAGATCCTGTCTGTTTACCCAGATCTAAACGTGGCCCCTAGAAAAACAACCGTGTCTCCCATAATATTAAAGTTTATCTTTCTCGCAGGAGCACCCATATAACAAACAATTGTGAATATATTTTGTATGCTCACTAGCAAAATGGAATGTTGAATAACTTACTTGAAGACCTTACCACGTACAACTGAGAATGGTGATAAAAATACAATAATTTAAAACATTACATATTAACTGAGGGGAAGGTAATGCACAGTACAGTCCGATATTACAATATCAATAAAAATATACTGGGTAACTTAAAAATGGGAATCTTTTATTTTGCCTTACCCAATGCTATAAGTGAGAATGTACATTTAATGACAGATAGTAAAACGTACGGAGTTTTTATTTCTGGGATTAGAAACTTTTACATCTCTCTTCTCAAATATGAATAGCTCTCTTGATTGTCAGACATGAGTTTGGTGTATTTCATATAATGGCAAAAATATTATTGAAAGTTTGACAAAATACGAACTATGTTTTAAAAGAACCCAGGGTAACTTGTTACAAATTTTTCTTATTAAGTATTTTTTAAACATAATGTTTCGTCTTGTAATAATTCAATAACGTGGTTTCATGTTTTGATCAAACTTAGATTAAACTGTTGTTCGTTTTTGAGTTTAACGAAAAATAAAATCCATTATTAGTTCATAAAGGAGTTTGGTGTTTATAACATAAACTACGCGGCCAAAACATACACCGAATTTAATAGAATTAGGTTTATTTAGAGAAGTAAAAGTTCTTTATATTCCTGTTCTTGGTCCTGCCTTTTCTTGTTGTATATAGTTAAAATATAAATTCAGAAGTTTGAACAGTTGAGTGTACTATATTAAAACTATTTTGAATATGCAACTCAACAAATCACGAGACAAACACACCCGAAGTAAAGTAGTTGTGGAATGGCATATATCAGGACTAAATTTTGTTTAGCATTGCATGGGGATGTCATGCCACCGAAAATTTATCACTTTTGGGAAGGATATGTAACAACATTTTTTAACACGAAACTGTCATACGCTCAGATCATAAAGATATGTTCAGATGGGAATATCCTTTGTACTTAATGGCATCGACAAACAAAGGAATATGGATTGACTTGGTGTACCAGGACCATCCAAAAAGAGACGTGCAACAAGTCGAACCTAAACCACGATAAGCAAGGTGTGATGTCTTTTTAACAGGTGAGAATAGACTAACACAAAGGACTGTGGTGAAAGCTGTCCTCATGCCCTGCAGAACAGCAAAAGGCTTAAAAAAGAAGGACGTCAGTTTGGAAAAGCAGCAAAAGTCACTTGTACACACGTTGCTTCCATGACATATTTGTTTAACTAACGCATACATTAAAAAACTGGAGAATGAAAAGGATATTTGTAATATTCTATATGAAGACATTCCAATAAAGCCACCAGACACGGATTTCTATGTGACTGAACTGTTGAAACAGGTGTTGGTAAATCATTGTCTTGTACACTAGATGGCTTATGGAAAACAGTAGAGAGGAAGATGTGCTTTGGACATTATGACAAGTCATTTTGCAATGGAAATACACCGAAAAGCTATTGCCAATTTGGTACAGGACTGTATTATGCCTTAGTTTAGCTTTTCGTTAACATATGAATTTTCTTGAAGTGTCTGTTGTTCTTTCAGTCCAGTTTGGTTGCAAATAGTCACTCAAGCAAGCCATTCAAGTATCGTTTCCTCCAGTGCATATGACATGTAAATCCCTTAAGTTACAGTTAATCTTATTTTATTGCATTTATCACATTCTTTAATGTTGTGATAGATGGTTGTCTCTTTTGTTGGCAAATCGGATAATGGCTTGGGGCAAAATAGAAAATAAAGTGATGATGAAAAACTCGCCAAATGAAAATAATTTTATTGGTAAAACACGAAAATAACGTTGTTTTCGTGTTTTATCAATAAAATTGTTTTAATTTGGCGAGTTTTTCATCATTACTTTATTTTCGATTTTGTATTTTCCTCTCCCACACAATTACTCTATTACAAGAACTAATAGCTTTGGGCTACATTC